CGCCGAAATTGCCCACATGGACAAAGCAGAGCTGAGTGAGCTCCTCAAGGAGCAGCAGCTCCAAGTTGTGAAGAAGCTGTCCGACACCACTGCCCTCATCGGACACCACTCCACCCTACCCAAGGAAGCCCAACTGGCGTGGGTAACTGTGCCAGTCAAGCCCTACTGCAGACCGAAACGGTGTTACAAATGCCAGCACTATGGACACACTGTAAACAAGTGTGAGGCGCAGGAAGACACCTGCTCCATGTGTGGCAGCCCTGGACACCGCTACACGGTCTGCCCCAACACAGAGAAAAAATGCGCTGCCTGTAGTGGCCCACACTCCTCCGCCGACCGGACCTGTCCCAGATGGAAGGAGGAATGCAGGGTAGCCAAGGCTCGTCTTGCGAAAAAACTGAGCTACAAAGAGGCCCTCCTTGCTGTACGCTCCCAAGAAAAGAAAAAACCAGCAGTAAAGAAAAACCAAGAAAAGAAAACTCAACAGAAGCCGCCCACCACACAGAACCAAGAACACCACGTGGCCCGTGGTGCTGAAGCCCACGCGGCCCGTGGTGCTGAAGCCCATGAGGTCAACCTCACCCTCTCTGAATTCTTCCACACCTATGAGGACTTAATACACGAAGAAGACGAACAAGAAGACCCAAACACAAACGAATGGACACTCCAAGAGAGCAAGAAGAGAAGGAGAGTGAGAAGAAAATCGACATCAAGCTAAGAAGACCAAGACATCCCCTCCACACAAGAAACCAAAACACATCAAGCCGACCAAGCACTGAACATCCATTGCCCAACCCAACACGCACCTGACGCCTGACCTGACGCTTGACCTGACGCTTGACCTGACGCTAGCCTGGCCTTGTCTTGTCGCCTCCCTGCCGCGTCCAGCCGGGTTGTTGCTGCTGCCCCCATCTTATAATCCCTCACGCAAGCGGTGTTTAGCCACTGCATCTGTTCTCTCCTCCTAAAATTCACTTCAATCCTCCCTTTATTCTTCTCCTGAACCTCCTTCCCCCCTGTCACTAGCATTTTTCGATTCGATTCGGCTGTACGCCACACAGACACTCTCTCTCCCTCACCATGAACGGTTACGAGTTTGTTAACGTGGCGCGGATACGTCCGGACACGCCGACCTGCCCCAAGAAACTAAACCTCCTAGTTCTCCAGAAGTTTTTCGAAGCTAATGGGATCGTGGGGGTCACCAAGGTGGAGCGTCTAAAGCTCCATGGTGACATCAAGATCACCTTCGCCGAGAAGGGCATGCTCGCTCAACTCGCGGAGATCCCAGACATCAACGGCATTCCTTTTAAAATGTTTGCCTTCATGTGGGACAACTTGAAGCTGGGTGTAATCTCCCACGCCGAAATTGCCCACATGGACAAAGCAGAGCTGAGTGAGCTCCTCAAGGAGCAGCAGCTCCAAGTTGTGAAGAAGCTGTCCGACACCACTGCCCTCATCGGACACCACTCCACCCTACCCAAGGAAGCTCAACTGGCGGGGGTAACTATGCCAGTCAAGCCCTACTGCAGACCGAAACGGTGTTACAAATGCCAGCACTATGGACACACTGTAAACAAGTGTGAGGCGCAGGAAGACACCTGCTCCATGTGTGGCAGCCCTGGACACCGCTACACGGCCTGCCCCAACACAGAGAAAAAATGCGTTGCCTGTGGTGGCCCACACTCCTCCGCCGACCGGACCTGCCCCAGATGGAAGGAGGAATGCAGGGTAGCCAAGGCTCGTCTTGAGAAAAAACTGAGCTACAAAGAGGCCCTCCTTGCTGTACGCTCCCAAGAAAAGAAAAAACCAGCAGTAAAGAAAAACCAAGAAAAGAAAACTCAACAGAAGCAGCCCACCACACAGAACCAAGAACACCACGTGGCCCGTGATGCTGAAGCCCACGAGGCCTGTGGTGCTGAAGCCCACGTGGTCAACCTCTCCCTCTCTGAATTCTTCCACACCTATGAGGACTTAAAACACGAGGAAGACGAAGAAGAAGAAGACCCAAACACAAACGAATGGACAATTCAAGAGAGCAAGAAAAGGAGGAGAGTGAGAAGAAAATCTACATCAAGCTAAGAAGACCAAGACATCCCCTCCACACAAGAAACCAAAACACAATCAAGCCGACCAAGCACTGAACATCCATTGCCCAACCCAACACGCACCTGACGCTTGACCTGACGCTAGCCTGGCTTCGTCTTGTCGCCTCCCGGCCGCGTCCAGGCGAGTTGTTGCTGCTGCCTCCATCTTACAATCCCTCACGCAAGCGGTGTTTAGCCACTGCATCTGTTCTCTCCTCCTAAAATTCACTTCAATCCTCCCTTTATTCTTCCCCTGAACCTCTTTCCCCCCTGTCACTAGCATTTTCGATTTTTTTTTTTTGGCTGTACGCTGATTGGCTGGTCGGAGTGCGGCCGGAGCTCAGTTGGAAGTTGTAGGGGAGAGTAGCCACTACAAGTGATTCGACATAATGAAGTTAACCGAACCACTTTTCCGGTTGTGGCATAATGGGTAACACCAAGACCCCCTGATAAGAGCCCTCAATTTCACTGTCAACCTCAGTACACAACATCAGGCGTTGCAGTAAACACGGCCCGGTCTCTCTATCATTGCCAGCGTTCCTATATAATTCACTGAGGATTTAGAGTCACCCGCCTCTTACAATCATCCACACTGAGCTTCAGTCATTCTTGGAGGTACAGTACAGTGTATAATTACATACAACTACAACAGGTGCTGATCAAATGAAAGTTATATCATGTCCTGTTCTGTGGTCGGCGGTCAGGTCTCTCATCTTTATATATCTGCTTCATGACTCTTGTACAAGTCATTAAACAGTATATATATATGGAAACCAGCACCAAAAACAAAGTGACGGACTCATCAAGTGTGTGGTAAAATGGATCAGTTTGCGGTGAGCTGTGGAATTGTGCGCTAAATACTGGTCCTGTGAGCGGTAGCGTAAAAAGGACTACAGAGTAGAGGCCACTAAGGGTGTTTATCAGACCCCAGTGACCGTGATTATTATAGCACTAAATGTAACAGAGTATTTCCAGTACATTGTTTGTTTAAGTCGGTACATTGAAGTTTGATCAGGTGCTAAATGCCAAGTGTGGATACAGCCTCGGTATATTAGCTATCTTGCCATCAGATATAAAGTTCGGACATTGCCTACACCAGTGGTCCTCAGCCTGTAGTTCGTCACATTATGGAGCCCTCAAGGGTTTATTAGAAATTTGTGAAATATTTGAGAATTTTTTGTCAGAGTGAAATAAATGAAAATGTGATAAATTCATGCGAAATTATAGAGGGGGGGTGGCGGAAGAGATGAACGTTTGTCCCGAGTCTTTTGTGTATATGACGTATTTCTCACAGACCGGGCCCAGAGATAGAGGGAGTCAGCCTTCTCACTAAAGGGAAACACTTTATATATATATATATATATATATATATATATATATATGTATATATATATATATATATATATATATATATATATATATATATATATATATAGCAAGAGTGGGGAGAGAAAAGGAGAGAAGAGAAGACGGGAATGCTGCGTTTAGCAAAAGGGGTAAGATGCAGTTTCTTAGAACAAATTTTTAGGGGGGTCGTATGTATGTTCTCTCAGCACATGAGGGCAGTGCTGTTTTCTTTTAGGGGGGGTCGAGTGTTAGCGGGAGAGAAAAGGAGAGAAGAGAAGACAAATGCTGCATTTAGCACGTTAAAGGGGTGAGAAGCAGTCCTTAGAACAAATTTTTAGGGGGGTCGTATGTGTGGTTTCTCAGCACATGAGGACAGTGCTGTCTTTTTTTAGGGGGGTCGATTGTAATACTCAGAAATTTCAGAGTAATTTCGAATGCCCCGCCATTGGCAACACTGAGCGTTCAAGGTCGCGGGAGGGAAAAGAGCGCTGCCTGCTCATAGCGAGAGATTGCGGAACTAGGCCTAAATGATATTAAATGTAATTTACCGAATTAATAATGATGCGATTCATGAAGTAAGGGACTATTATTGAATTTGAAATTATTATAGATCGTTTATCAGTCTGAATAATGTTACGGGTGTCCCAAGGAGTTATTAGTTAGGCGGAAAATATGTCACGTAGGCATAGCTAACACCTTGAGAGGACGCGATGCTGGCTGGGCCTCAGTCGTGGGGAGCAGTTAGGCAGACAAGACGTCCCTGCGCGTCTGTCACGGAAATAGTCACGTGGCCTAGTCACCTGTGCTGCGCTATTGCAGTATAACAAGTAAGTCTCAGTCGATCTCAGACAGGGTTAGATAGGGCAGTGGTAAAGTAAACTAGAGCTAACAGGGTTTCCGTCAAAACCCACTTGACTGGAGTTGACTGCGAGAGATTGACTGCCGTTTGAGACTGCCGTTGATGATTGAGGGTGGCGATTGTCGCCATTGGACCGATCAGTGTAGGCCTGTCACTGTTTAGCGGGGTAGCAAAGGATCTCTTGAGTGAACGAGTGCTTCCGACAACTAAAACGACGGGACCAGCATCCACAGTGGGTGATCAGTTCTTACCACTTGGGTGCACAACACCACATGTCCCGAGCAGCTTAGTGAAACCCTCTTGCTAACGGGAAGCTAAAGTTTCTCTCAACTGTACAAGGTCTAATTGGCTCACTCCCTTCCGCTTTATGGACGCACTGGGAGTACACTGAGGCTATCTGAGTAAACTAATGGTCACACACTGAGACCGTGAGTCTAGGTCTCTAGGAGATACCTAGAGGAACATCTTCCCTCCCTTATTACGGGTGTAGTTAACACCATTCCTCAGACTGATATTATCTTGACGTGTGTAGTTTAATAGTCCTAAATAATTTTGATAGTATTGTTTTTGAATGTTTGTGCCATTAAGCGGAACCAGAGTGATACTGTGATTTGATTCTTTTAATGCATCTAATTGTTCTTCATAATTCTGATCTCAGGTATAACCTTTGTTCCCCAGAGTAGTGGTTAAGTTAGGTTAGGAAGTGTGCATTCAAAGAAAGAAAGTTCACTTCTTATTTCTAAAACTGATATTTTGTGAAAGTCTTTATGTCTGAAATATGTGTAAGCAACATTATCAGTTCTATTGTTGTGTTTAATACTTTATATATGTTGAAAAACAATTGTTTGTTCAGCAATTCCGACTGTTATATATATATATATATATATATATATATATATATATATATATATATATATATATATATATATATATATATATGTAACCGGTCGGAATTTGCTGGACTTTAAGTTCTCACTTGACTTGGGGTTTATTAAAAATTAATAGATGGTAATGGCAGTGGAAGCGCCCCTTTGAGAAAAATCCCGAACCAGCACAAGAACACTTAAATCTACTACACAAAATGAATTGTCCGTGACCCGTGGAAGGATAGCGTCTGTGACTGGGATGAATGAGACACACTGTAAAATTTAGACACTTATATTCCCTCCAACACTACAAACACAATCAAATAATGGTACACCAATATGCGCACCTCTTAACTTAAACTTAAAACACTACTCTGGGGAATAAAAGTTATACATGACATAGAAATTATTAGAAACACAGGCAACAATAAATTTGAAGTATTAAGAAATGTTGCTTGCACACATGAACAGGCCTTAAGGCTTTCCCAAAATAATACCAGTCACTTAGGAAATGGTACTAAAAAATAAGAAATTAAATACTCCACAATGAATAGGCCTTAAGGGTCTTCAACAAAATAATATCAGTCACTGAGGAATGGTAATAAAATTTAAGAAATTAAATACTCTATAATGAATAGGCCTTAAGGGCACTCAACAAAATTATAGCACCCCAACAGATGCACACTTCCTAACCTAACTTAACCACTACTCTGGGGAACAAGGTTATACCTGAGATCAGAATTATGAAGAACAATTAGAGGCATTAAAAGAATCAAATCACAGTATCACTCTGGTTCCACTTAATGGCACAAACATTCAAAACAATATTATCAAAATTATTTAAGAAATATTAACTACACACGTCAAGATAATATCAGTCTGAGGAGGGGTGTTAACTACACCCGTAATAATGAAGATAAAATGTTCCTCTAGGTATCTCCTAGAGTCCTAGACTCACGGTCTCAGTGTGTGACCATTAATATACTCAGATAGCCTCAGTGTACTCCCAGTGCGTCCATGGGCAGGAAGAGAGTGAGCCAATCAGACCTTGTGCAGTTGAGAGAAACTTTAGCTTCCCGTTAGCAAGAGGGTTTCACTAGCTGACCGAGGACACGTGGTGTTGTGCACCGGAGTGGTAAGAACTGATCACCCACTGCCGATGCTGGTCCCGTGTCGTTTTAGTTGTCGGGAGCACTCGTTCACTCAAGAGATCCTTTGCTACCCCGCTAAACAGTGACAGGCCTACACTGATCGGTCCATTGGCGACAATCGCCACCCTCAATCATCAACGGCAGTCTCAACGGCAGTCAATCTCTCGCAGTCAACTTCGGTCAACTCCAATCAAGTGGGTTCTGACGGAAACCCTGAAATGAACTCACTGTTAGCTCTAGTTTACTTTATCACTGCCCTATCTAACCCTGTCTGAGATCGAATGAGACTTACTTGTTATACTGCAATAGCGCAGCACAGGTGACTAGGCCACGTGACTATTTCTGATGGACGCGCGGAACGTCTTGTCTGTGTGAATGCTCTCCGGGACTGGCCTAGCCAGCGTCGTGTCTCCCCAAGGCGCTAGCTTGGGCCTACGTGATATATTTTCCGCCTAACTAATAACTCCTTGGGACACCCGTAACATTATTCAGACTGCTAAACGATCTATAATAATTTCAAATTCAATAATAGTCCTTTAACTTCATGAATCGCATCATTATTAATTCGGTAAATTACATTTAATATCATATAGGCCTAGTTCCGCAGTCTCTCGCTACGAGCAGGCAGCGCTCCCTCCCCTCAGATGACCTTGAACGCTCAGTATCACTCATGGCGGGGCATTTGAAATTACTCTGAAATTTCTGAATATTACATATATATATATATATATATATATATATATATATATATATATATATATATATATATATATATATATATATATATATATATATATATATATATATATATATATATATATATAATTTTGTTCACATATGCCTGAGGGGCATACTGCCAGAGGTACTTATATTCTAAGCTTAGTCTAGCGGTTACATCTTGTAATCTAGTCATCTTGTTACTTGCCCCATATACATGTTTCACTTGATACATCTCATCATGGTAAACAATGGATTGACTAGTACCTGTTTGTACTTGTCTACTGGCTTCAAATTCATCGTTTTTTTCTCGATTACAGTTTGTAATGTTCTGTTTGACACAACTAGATGGTATAAACATTTGTTATTGTTGGCATCAACTTTATCATGTTGACTAATGCCTGAGAGAGGTAGAGGTGCTGTGGCCAGTGGCGGCGCGCTGGGGTCAGTCAATGTGTCAACTCTGGCAATCTGTGTGTGTGTGACCCCCACAGGTGATGGCTGGCCGCTTCCTCAGGTGTGTGCACGGGAAGGAGTTGCTGGCGCTGAAGGAGAGACTAGCAGCCCATCTGCCCAACTCTGCCATTGTGAGTTATCGCCTCTTACCATGTTCTAAAATTACCACAAACATTACACAGCCTATGATGCTAAACCATTGATAAAAATGTGATGGCACGAACCAACCAAATCTAACTTTACCGTCTAGACCAGACCTGACCTGACCTAACCTGACCTAACCTAAACTGATACAAAACACACTAAACCCGAGGTGCCAAACTGACAAAGCCCGGGGACAACATTTATACTTTGTGAAAGTCAGAAATTAATTATTTATAAAATAGACATTCGGTCAAGAGAACAAACGATGGACCAGTAGTTGGTCAAATGTACTGAAACTTTAATAGATCTTCTGTGGGGAAAAATGGAGATTTCAATCTAGAAAACGGGAGAAGGTGTTGACGGTGAAGACTCTGTCATAAGTAGCGTTTGGGGGAGCACCATCACTCCTATACCACTCATTGTGGCTGCGACTCTCACCACACCATTCACCTTAATGTCTGGGGAAAACATCAGAGGAGACCAAGTCCCGGTAAATACACAACTACTGATTGTGGAAGTGTCTTGTGTTGTGATGACCAAGACAACAATTAAAAGTAGGTGCCTAGACACACTTTTATGTCGATTTTATGTTTTATTCTTCAACCCCGGCAGCTGCACGGGACGGTCGAGACAGGAATACGTTATGGACTAATGGAGAAATTAGGAATAAAGTTGTTTATCCCAAAACACAGTGGCAGTCTGGTGGTGGCTACCCCAGCCTTCACTACGGTAAGTCTGGTGTGGATATGTTGCCCTCTTATTGTGTATCCATCTGCATGAATATATGTCTTGATTATGTAAATATATTTCAATGCAAGAGAATGATTCTTGGAAATGCTTTCATACTGAACAGTCCATAACCTCTGTAATTTACTGTACCTCTCCCCTCCACTTATCTTGTATGTATAATAATATTTTAGTCTGTACTGTACTTAAGTCGTGTGTAGCCGCTCTTCTTGTATTTCCATACCAGTTTGCATAATTTGTACATGAAACTTTGTTCCATAGGATCATGGGGGTATGTGTTTCTCATACATTTGGTATTGTGGTGTCCAGAAAAAGGTGCAGAGTTTGTCAGTGTTCTGGAACCCGGAGGAGGAAGACGAGGAGGAGGTGGCGCAGATGATCGGATCGTTGCCTGGCATCGACTGGAGGAAACCTGTGTTCTTCAGTACCAGTTCCAAGACCATCTCCAGCAAGGTAAGTCACCTGTAGCCTTCACTACTCCACAGTCACTCTGCTGTACAGCATGGTAAAAAGCCCGTTCTGTTAGCTGTCTCTACCAAGCCCATTCATACACACACACACACACTATACTGTATATACTTTACAGGTGACGAGTATAGGGAATAACCAGCTGGTCGGCGACGGAAACATAGAGGCTCATACGGTCGAAGATTCATCTATGTACGAAATCCCTCCACAACTGCCGCATATCCAGTAAGTGACTTAATCCTTGTTAAAAAACAATTATATACTGTATATATATATATATATATATATATATATATATATATATATATATATATATATATATATATATATATATATATATATATATATATATATATATATATATATATATACAGTCGATAAGATAAATCTTGATAAAATCACACAGGGAAAGGGGAAACAATGGAGCACCTTAGCTTTCGTCTTTATTCAAGACATCTTCAGAGGCAACTGAATTACATGGACCGAGAGAGGCTTAAGTACACAGGGTGACCTTACTAAACATGAGGTCAGGTCATAAACATGACATCCTCTAATCCGCACACCAACAACACCACACACGCAGAGGAGCTAAAGAGAAAGGGCGACGTGACAGGTCAAAAATATGGGACCCACTAATCATCTATCCTACATCTAACTCCAATACTTTCAAAGCATTTTTAACCTTGGGCCACTGACAAATAAATTTGTGTAACATATTATCAGTTTTGTACTGACCATCACTAAGGTTTAGGAAATTTAATTCCCTAATCAAACTAGCTTCAACCAGAAGTCTTTCTGTGACACATGATGATTTGTACACTTCTAAGCTGTTTTCCCAATCACTGGGATGATTATTGTTCCTAACATGAACGAACAGTGCACTGCTTTCAGATGCTGTTCTGATAATGTACTTGTGCTGTTTGATTCTGAGTTGCAATGCTTTCCCAGTCTGTCCTCAATAGTTTCCATTACAGCTGCTACATGGAATGCAGTAAACACTTCCATTTACATTCAAGGTTGGGCTATTCTTGATTAATATATAGTAATAGTTGAGTCATACTTAAAAACAACATTTATATTTAATAATTTAAGGGACTGAACTAACGGGACAAATTCATTGCAATAAGGTAGAGTCAAAATATTCCTAAATGTAGGAATTTGCCACCTGGTTTGAGTAGAATGAAAGGATTTTTTAGCCCAAGTTTTTGTGCAATGGACTGAATGTGTTTCAGTTCCTCATCAATAAATTCTGGGTCACAAATATGCAAACATCTCAAAAACATAGCAGAAAAAACTGACATTTTGGTAGATTCCAGGTGACTCGATAAAGAATGTATGAAACTGTCTACCTGTGTAGGCTTTCTGTACACCTTAAATTTATAGTTATGACCATTTCTAATGATAAGCATATCAAGAAATGGAAGGGATCCATTTATTTCTCTTTCAATTTTGAATGTAATACTAGGGACAAGATCATTAAGCTTGTCTAAAAATTCCAATGGGTCTCTGTTTCTAGGCCAAAGACAAAGAACATCATCTACATATCTATACCATGGAGGAATAAAGTCCCCTATATTGGGTAGTAATCTAGCCTCAAAAAACTCCATATAAATACAGGCTAAAGGAGCAGAAAGACAATTACCCATGCTCATGCCAATTATTTGCATGTAAAACTTCCCATTTGACCTAAACACATTGTCAGTGTTATTTATTTATTTATTTTTTATTTTATTTTTTTTATTGGGCACTCCCCTACATCCTCGTGTAAGGTGAAGCGCAAAAGCGTTTACAGCGCCCAACAGGGAAGCATGCTAAGTTCATGCTTGCCTTTATGTCTCACGAGTTACGGGCGTAGAAGCCTGAAGAGTCAGTGGTTTATGTCATGAAGTTATTGGAAGCTCCAACAACTTTCCCTTAATACGAATTCGCAACTTTCGACTTACAACAGGTACCTACTTTACTGCTAGGTGAACAGGTACTAATGGGGGCTAGGAAATAAGTCCAAACAACTTCCACCGGCCCGGGATATTGCCACGCACAAATTGTGGGCACCGGCCACATGTTAAGTGAAGAAACTGTTTACACCTCAGAATAGCGAGATGAAGCTGGTAGCAGCTATGTGACAGCCTGAGGGACAGACTATCGCCTTTTACTGTACATCTTGATTCTCGTCAGCCAACATCTTCCTGCAGGACGTTAGATTTGCTCTCGTTGATCTAACCCTAGACCCCAAAACGTGTGTGTGATTGTGAACTGTTGAATCCTCTGAGAACTCTAAATAACTTTAATAAGTGTAATTATTAACTGTTTATTGATCGTATCATTCAAACTGTGTCCTGATGTACCAGCAGTTGTTATATGTGAACTGTATTCAACAGGTTTTGACCGAATTATACTCATCGCGTCAACGACAAGGGTCTTATTGTCCTGCACAAACCAAAATCGCTCCAATGAGCGGTTACAGTCATTAACGCATAACTCTATCAATTTGAGAAAAGTATCATGTTCAATAGTCATATCTAACGGTTGTAATTTATCTTTAAGAAATGAAAGTAGGCCTTTCACTGGTACTCTATTGAAAAGTGAATTTACATCAAAACTTATATATTATATATAAATATATTGTTTTCCATTACTAATGTATTTATCGTTCGTTTTATTGCACAGTATTCTTGTTGCTTCCTTTCAAAAAATATTTATTTCCCCTTTTTCTATGCAGGTGCAGCCCTCCTGAAGGATTCTACCTGGACAGTCTCCGGCCTGAGGAGGTGGCCTTGGTGATGCCCTTCTGGATGTATCAGTGGACTGAAACCTATAGCGGCCACGAGACTTTACTCCGGAGCGTCCCGTCGGTGGCTCTTCGCAAAAGGGGAGATGGTGACCCCACCTCCAAGGACCAGCTGGTGGGTTGGATCCATCTGTACAACAACGGGATCTTAGGCAACTTTTTCGTCTTGCCAGAGTACCGTGGTCAAGGCCTGAGTAAAGTCATTTTATACGAGCTTGTCTGGAAGGTACAAAAGGATGGCCTCTTTACCTACGGTATTTTTGACGCCCACATGAAAAAGTACGGGGAGAATACTAAGAAATATGGCACCGTCAGGCATATGGACATGGAGGCTGTGTTTTACCTGGCCAAGGGCGACACTGTTGACGGCTTCATGAAAACCTTGTTATAACGTGACGAAGGAACTTAAAATGTTTTCTCTAAGTACTAATGACACCTACAGAAATAATCGTGATACCATTCGCATACGTATTTAATCACACCATATTAAGTCTGCTACGAATACAAATGATACTAAATGTTGTAAAATCATTCCTTCAGATAAATGTCCAGTATATTATATCAGGTGCCACTAATAAAACTCAGGCTCTCAATTGACTCATCCATGTCACTATTATTATCCACTCTGTATCTGTATTTTTCTTGCTAAATAAACTCACTAGCGTAGCTAGGGGGCAGGGGGCGGTCCGCCCCAGGCCCGGGCGGCACTTTTGGGTCTGCTCATCACCCATATCTGCAGCTACTGGAGACGTTAATCCATCCCTTTGTATCGGCGGCAAGTTAATCCTTGTCGTGTCTGACCTAACACCTGACCCACATCATCACGGCCACGTCATGAGCTACACCCTTGCTATGCGCCCCCGCCACACACACAACCTGTAACCTGTTGAGGATTAAGGAAACAACTTCAAACAAGTACGCCAGTGAGCTCATGTGGTGTGGGTCAGGTGTTAGGTCAGACACGACGAGGATTAACTTGCCGCCGATACAAAGGGAAGGATTAACGTCTCCAGTAGCTGCAAAACCATGCAGTCTCGGGTCAACATAAAAACATAAGAATGGAGGAAACTGCAGCGGGCCTATTGGCCCATACTGGGCAGTCCCGTTTACACCCAACCCCTATTGCTCATATGAGCATCCAACCTATGTTTGAAGCAATTCAGCGTATTCGAGTTAATGATGATATTTGGTAACTTGTTCCATTCATCCACAACTCTGTTTCCAAACCAGTGTTTACCTATTTCACGCCTAAATCTAAATTTGTCTAATTTAAAACCATTGTTACGAGTTCGCTCCTGGTTGGATAGTTTGAGTACCTTTGTAATGTCCCCTTTGTTTAGCCCTGCCTTCCACTTATACACCTCTATCAGGTCGCCCCTCGCTCTACGTCTCTCGAGGGAGTGCAAATTAAAACGCTTTAACCTGTCTCTATACTCAAGGTTCCTAATGCCCGGGATTAGTCTTGTCATTCTCCTCTGAATTCTTTCCAAGGATTCTATATCCATTCTGTAATACGGTGACCAGAACTGAACTGCGTAATCCAGGTGTGGTCTCACAAGAGCAAGATACAGTTTTCGGATGACCTCGCTAGTCTTGTAACTAACACTCCTTTGTATGAACCCAAGTACTTTATTAGCCTTGTTACGAGCAAAAGCACATTGTTTACTTGGCTAAGGTTCCTACTTATCATTACTCCTAAATCTCTCTCGCAGTCGGATTTCTCTATGGCATCGTTGTTCATCTGGTATCTGGTTTCCCTGTTTACATCTCCTATACTGAGTACTTTACATTTGTCGACGTTGAATTTCATCTGCCATTTTTCAGACCATTCGAAAAATTTGTTTAGATCTTCCTGTAGTTTTGCCGAGTCCTCGTCAGATTTGATAACACGTCCTATTTTAGTGTCATCAGCAAATTTACTTATGTTGCTGTCTATGCCGATATCTATGTCGTTTATGTATATAATAAATAATAATGGTCCAAGTACTGAGCCTTGGGGAACTCCACTTGTGACGTTGCTCCAATGGGACTTAGTGCCGTTAATGCTCACTCGCTGTTTCCTGTCCTGTAACCACGCCCTAATCCATTTAAGGATGTCACCTTTGATGCCATGAGCTTCTACCTTTCTAATTAGTCTTTCGTGGGGGACTCTGTCGAAGGCTTTGCTAAAGTCGAGATATACCACATCATAATTGTGCCCCTCGTCCACCGATTCGAAAACTGATGAAAAGAATGTTAATAGATTAGTTAGGCAAGAACGTCCGCTTGTGAAGCCATGCTGGGAATCATTGATCAATCGGTGCTTCTCCAGGTGATTTCGAATAGAGTTTGAAATGATTGCTTCCAGTAATTTGCCTACTATTGATGTTAGACTGATTGGGCGGTAGTTAGAGGATAGTGATCTATCCCCCTTCTTGAAAATCGGTATTACATTCGCTATCCTCCAGGATTCTGGTACTACACCGGTTTTTAATGACATGTTAAACAACTTTGCTAAGGGCATACTAAGCTCTTCCTTACATTCCTTTAACACTCTGGCAAATATCTCATCGGGACCAGGTGACTTATTAGGCTTTAGTTTGTCTATTTGCTTACTAACATCGTTACTAATCACTACTCTCTCACTTAATTTGTTTTCTTCACTATCTCTGAATAGAGTCGCATCATATCAGTTCATGTACAGCCGACCAATCCACCAGTTACAAGCAATTCACTTCAGTTCTGCACAAGTCTCCATCGTGACAAGACGAGGGGAGGCTAGACGACTTTTATGTTCTCTTGTGTTTTCGATCCAGTTATTTACTTCGTTGGAAGACATAATACTATAAGGTAAGAAATATTAAAGTATTGGTTAAAATATATTGATGTGACTTTTGCTGCGGTACTGAGATTAAATATTAAGATTTTTGTTTCACAGCATTGCGATTTTATACTAAGACACTATCCTCACTGGGGTACAGACAAAAGCCCCCCCGACAAAAGCCACCCAGACAAAAGCCCCCCAGACGAAAGCCACCTAGACAAAAGCCCCCTACTTTGATCGGGGTCACCTCGACGGGGTGGCTTTTGTCTGACAACAGTAAGGGCTTTCAAAAGTTACGGACATAATTAAATAGTTGAGGGTAAAATATACTGTTCTTCTCTGTGGTTAATTATTGGTTAGGTTAGGGCAATGATCTGGGGATAGTCATGGAGCGTCAGCGTCGACCCAAAAAGAAGAAACAAATGTTTGGTGAAGGATCACGAGATGCTGAATTGCCATACGACATTGAACTGAGGAGAGAAATGTTTTCTTCGCTGGACAGAGTGATCCAAGAAATAACTTTGAGATTTCAACAGCTTCATGAACTTGCTGAGAAATATGCCTCCCTTACCCCATTGAATCTTTTGGATGATAAATATGAGTGTCAAATAGATCACGATCACGACGACATTGATAAAGAGGAGTTCCTCGTTGAGAGAAAAAGACTTCAGCATTTTGTTGCTGTTGCTGCTATAACTATTAAAGACAGAATACAGACGTGGAAAGAAGGCCCCCTTGAACTTTTGCAGTTTATTCAAAAGTATAACCTTGGGAACTCGGTTCCAAATATAGTAATAATGCTGAGGATTTTCCTCACAATTGCTGTTAGTGTTGCTACCTGTGAGAGGAGTTTTTCGAAACTAAAACTGATCAAGAATTACTTAAGATCTACTATGAGCACCTTGCGGTTGAGAAATCTTGCCATACTGTCTATAGAGCGACAATTGACAGATGAGATAGTTTTTGACAATGTCATTGAAGAATTTGCCAACAAAAAAACAAGAAAAGTTACTTTGTAGAAAGTTGTAGTTTTCATTTCAGAAATAAAGATGGTGCTAATTTTTTACACTTTTACTTTTTTCCCTATCCTATATGTCGTTTTTGCTTTTTGTTTAACTGTTACTTATAAAGTTTAAGTGTGTTTGGTGTGTATTTAAAGCATACTATATTTGAGTATGTGAAAGTACAATAATATTATAATGGTACACAAACTATTTAATATATATATATATATATATATATATATATATATATATATATATATATATATATATATATATATATATATATATATATATATATATATATATATATATATATATATATATAAGAATGAGTCACTGTGCAATATGTATTTTTTGTGGGGACGGGGGGGGCGGTAAACTCAAGGGCCGCCCCGGGCGGCACACACTCTAGCTACGCCACTGAATAAACTGTTTCAATATCAATTCAATATCAGTCTCTCGGTCAGAAGTCCTGTTGCCTCGCCTCCTGAACTGCGAACCCCGAGATCCAAACTCATGAATCAGAAGCATTTTTTTTTTACGGGCATTAGCCCACCCGGGCACAGGTAATGCCCACATCAGGGCCTGGGGGGCGAAAATATAATAATGAATAATAATTATAATAATAATAACAATAATATCTATTATGATTCTTATTCTTATTATTATTATTATTATTATTATTATTATTATTATTACAACAATTAATAAAATTAATAGAAATTAATACAAATAAAATAATAGAAATATTAAAAATAATAACCATAAATAAATACAAAATTGATAAAATAAATCAAGAGTGAGAAAATATATACATTATATATGTTGTGTTGTCCAAGTAAGTGAAACAATTGAGACCCTGCAATTGTATGTAAATGAGGCAGAAAGTCAGATCAGCAACTGGTCACAATTTTCGTGATGCCATGTGGCAGCAGGGTCTACCATTAGACAACACATGAGGCTTACAATATCTTCCCAGGCGGTAGTTCCTCCGTGCTTGGTAGCTGCCTACTACCTACGACCTGTCGGTCTACTACTTCGGGTTCACGAGTTTGCACACTTCACATAATAATAATAACATAATGATGATGATGATGATAATGATGATGAAGACGACACAGGGACTTGGTAGGCGGCATAGACGGAAGGGAATACCATCATGGAGGCGATCACAATGGACATCCCAAGACCTTCTGAAGTAAGACGCCCCCAGGTCATCACCACCTCTCTCTCTCTCTCTCTTTCTCTCTTTCTCATGTGACAGTTTCTTGCATATTTTTTTTTTTAGTTTAACAAATTTATTGACAAAGTTTGGAGTACAGTTTGCCTATTCTGAGTAATTCAGTCAGGTCTTGACACTGAGGGTGGTATCACTTCTCACTGAAACGTAGAACAGAGGTTCATACACACAGAAATACATCATATTCATTAGCAGTATATATAGGCCAGAGTCATGTGGGTGATGTCAATGTTCACTGCCATGCAGGACAGAGGTTCATACACAAAGAAATACATCATATTCATTAGCAGTATATATAGGCCAGAGTCATGTGGGTGATGTTACTGTTCACTGCCATGCAAGACAATGGTTCACATACATTGGACGTCATATTCTAATTGAAGACTAATCAGTGTGGGCTAGCAAATTTGGGATAAACAGCAAGAATGTCCTCAAGCACCCCCGATTCAATGTAGTAATTACAAAGTCCATGATACAATAAGCCAGGTGGCCTGAAGTCTTTGACAGTGTCACATTCAATAATACAGTGTTCAAGTGTATGCTTTA